GGGGGGGGGGGGGGGGGGGTCAAAAACGTTTTCAATCCTTGTTTTTCCCAACCCCCCCCCCCCTCCCCATAAATAATGGACACTCCCTAAGTATAATATTTTACAAGAAAATGACCATGCACCACCGCAGGTCAACTACTAATTATGCATAACATAACTAATATACCTGGCAGAAATTAAATTTCCTTGCTTTCCTAAAAAAAATTATCATGGGATGAAAAACCATGCTTTAATTTAATATAATTATTGTAGTTTTCACAAGGATTGTCATTGTTTTCTATAAATATAATACATTTTATTTCACTTACCCCCCACAAAAACACAATTTCAGCCATATTTTGCTATCTTGTTTGCTTTTTATTGCAGAGTCTTGCAAATATCATCCAGTTGTTGTACTTTTACTTAAATGGCTAAAGAAGATAATTTCAACCAAGTTTCATCAAGTTTTGAAGCAGTACAGTGTATTCTACCTCCGATATTGTGTCCTTTGACATTTTCTCTAATATGTCGCCATTTTAATGGCTTGTTGCTTCTCTGCCCAATAAATGCCATTTATTTGTCTTCACATGTATTTAGATTATCCAACAGTACTTCATTGTAGACAATAGTCCCAATTGAAAAATTGAAAACATTAGTTGGCTAGTTGCCCTTGAAAGGAAAAAACCTCCCATAACAAATTTAGGATAGGAATAAGCAATCTTCACGAAAATTCCTTGTTGCTACTTGTCGGGAATATTTTCGCCACTGCAGCAATTCAACTAAATGTATTGTATTTATTGTATTTTATAATTTATGATAAAAACAATAAATATTCACGTATTTTTATCATCAATCATAAAAATACAATAAGTATAATTTATTTTGTTGGGTTGCTGTGGTGGCAAACAAACGTTTTGTGAAAATATTTGCCCCCCCCCGCTGTCAAGTAGCCACGAGGAATTTTCGTGAAGATTGCGTGTGACTTTCAAATGATTTGTTTTTATTCCTATCCTAAATTTGTTATGGGAGGTTTTTTCCTTTCAAGTGCAACTAATGTTTTCAATTTTTCGATTGGGACTATTCTACAATGAAGTACTTTTGGATACTGTAATCTAAATACATATGAAGACGAATAAGTGGCATTTATTGTGCAGAGAAGCGGCGAGTCATTAAAATGGCGGCATACTAAACGAAATGTCGAAGGACATAATATCGAAGATAAAATACACTGCACTGCTTCAAAACCTGACGAAACTTGGTTGAAATCTTCTTCAGCCATTTACCACTATGTACAAGAACAACAACTGGATCAGGATGATATTTGCGAGACTCAGTGAATGTGATAAAAAGCAAACAAGACGGCAAAATAAGTGCTAAGTGAAACAAAATGTATTATATTTATAGAAAACAATCCTTATGAAAACTACAATAATTATATTAAATTAAGCATAGTTTCTCATCCCATGATAATTTTTTTGCCCCGACATCGAGTAGAGCCATTTCAGCTGAACCTGTGACTGAACCAATAGTATTTGCGGCAGAAATAAGTTTATCTGCGCAGTCTTTTAGAACAGTTTCCATGGTCTCTGCTTGAATAAACCTTGATTTGCAAGTAAAATCTGCGGAAGGGACAGTACCGAGCACGAGGAAATTGCGCGGGAAATGCGTAAGCAAATACTTCATCTTGTACGAATATTCATGATTCAACAATTACTGACATAAATCAGTGGGCTCACCTTAGACAAGCTCGCAATGCATGCATTATCGACAAATTCAAACATTCGTTGAATTTGAAAGTACATTAGGGGAATTTACTCATTTAGTGAACAGATAATTTGACAAATTTATTAATTTGGCAAATTTATATATGTATTTGACGAATTTCGAAATAGCCGATATGCAAATTTACATACATGCATTTTGAACCCAATAAAGTATGAGGGGTTATCACTATCAAAAATAACTCTTGGTCGTGTGGAAGTTTATTGGGCCGTAAATCAAATTTAGTCGTAAAGTTCGATTGCCCGTAACGTACGTCTTTACATCGTAATTCAAAATGTTTCGTAATTGTCGTGATACTTCGGGTCGTAATTACCATAATACTTCGGGTCGTAATTATCGTCGTACTTCGGGTCGTAATTATCGTATTACTTCGGGTCGTAATTATCGTAATACTTCGGGTCGTAATTACCGTGATACTTTGGGTCGTAATTATCGTTATATCATCATTGCTTCAGTTTCTATAATTGCCTTTTGTAGGTCGATAATCATGTGAATCCACTCAACTGTCTAAAAGCAGGGGGCAGTTTTGAATATCTCCAGCTGGGGAGTGCGGGGCTGAAATAACCTACCAAATACAGGGTCGATATTAATTAATCAACCTCATTAATATATTCATGAGGTTGAACTCATTAACAGGTTGAACTTATTGCGCCCTCATGCGCCCTGGAATTGGGAACGGGGCAAGTCTCATTGCGCCCTCATGCGCCCTGCATGGATGACACGTTAACTTCCGGGCATGATTGTCTAGCGCGTATTTATCGGGCAACTGTCACGAGTATAAAGTGCAAAATTCGGGCTTTCAAACGATACATCATGCGGGAAAATTGATCAAAAGTTTGCGAAGATTTTCGATTTTAAAACTTTATTTTTTTACAAAACCTGTGACAATCGCAAAGTGTCACAAGATGGGAAAGCAAGTTTTAAGGATGAAAAAGAAGAGGTTTTTAAAGAGTTTTACATATAAAATTTGTTGTAAAACCAAAAAGGAGAGTGCACATGTTTCGAGTCAAGTTCTTGTCCAAATCAAGTCGCGCGATTTTCAGCCAGAAAAACACCATTTTCTTTAAATCTAACGGAAAAGTGAAGTGGGAAATCGCAAGAAACATGAACACTAAATCCAAGTGGTATAGTTACGATTTTTTTTAGCGTGTTTTTGAATGAAAATACCTGGCATGTTTTCATGAAATTCGATATAGCATTAAAGCAAGTTCAATCTAGTTTAAAACTAAGTTTTTAGAAGAACTTTTCGTGCATTTTATGGCATGATTTCGACTGTTTTTGGGACCCTACTGTTGGTCTTCTTGCTCAAGTTGTTATTTTAGCCAAAGTACTTTCAGAAGACAGTAGGTTCAACTTGTCATGTGCGTAGTACATAATTATATACATTTTTGGCAAGAAAAATTTGAGTAAAACCGCATTAAAACTAAGTAGAATATTCTACAATGAATACTATATCTGTTTCTATAAACTTTGTCTCGAAACGAGCTCTCATTGCAGAGATAATGTGGTTTAAAATCATTGTATCGAATTATGCCGTTACTTGGCGCGTGCGAATTCTAAAACTTCATGACAGGGATTTGAAAAGCTTCCAAAATACTCTTTATTGCTTCATATATCCCCATAAAATTTTTAAATCAATAAAACACATCATAAAGTTAATGCACGCTCATTTTCTAAGAAGTACTCATCGATTACCTGAAGGAAAAGTTCTAAAATAGGTCAGGACAGTGGCTTACAAAATGCCGTTCTTCTCTGAAATGGCTTCTTGTGCGGGAAGCCATTAAATTAATGTACTTTCCAAAATTGTAATTTAGTTGCTTTTTTGGTCTCATTGTTCACTTATTTATCATGGAATTACTTCGCTTGAGCTCTTTTAGTAATATCTGCAAGATAGTTTGTTATTTTGTGAAGTAAAAGCTATATTTTGAGGAGTTTATCTTTTGAAAACTGCATGCGCAACAAGGTGTCACCAATGTGTTTATTCTCGTCTGACAACTCAACCAAAGATAAAATACCTTATTTCACTGCTTTTTTATAGCAATCTAAAACGCCTAATTATTAGGTTATTCATTTTATTTAAGCATACATATTATATTTTTATACAATTGGTCCTTGTAAAGGACTTATTTCAAACTAAAAATAGAAATTGTTTTTAGAGTCAGATTTCAAATTTTGCCTGTCTGACATTTTACAGCAACCTACATTGGCGCGCACAACGTTTTGGCCACGTTTTGGTTGTTTTCTCAACAGAAATAAAAGGAATTTCAGTTAAAATTCTTACCTGATGAACATTCAAAATGTTTATCTCTTTTTGACGACTTTCAGTGCTCTTAATAGCGAAACAAAAAGCCTTTTGTTTTGTCACCGCACTCTGCGTTTGATCACCCAATCACATCTTTGCAGTTTGAAAAGTTAAGAACACGCATTCGCATTCGATCCGAATGATAATTTAATTTGTTTGGGATCAGATTAACCGTAACTCGTTTACAACTTTCAAACTTTGGGGCTTAACTCGAAGAACAAAATGTTTGACTTTGCTCGAGTTAAGCCCCTATTTTCTAGAGGGCTTAACTCGAAGTACCTAACTCCAGTTATGTAATTCGAGTTAAGCCCTCAACGGAAATGGGCGTGGCATGGGCGTGGTCAGGGCTTAACTCGAGGGGCTTAACTCGAAGATTTGCTACCCCACTTCAAATTACGATTTGAAGTTTGCCGTTTGCGGTTTGCCGTAAACGTGAATCTTAAATTATGAAAAAATTACGTTCGTACACCGAGCAATTAACGCACAATGGCGCGCATGCTAAATTTGGATTTCGTTTTTTTTAGACACCCTGTATTTTATAAAAAAAATTGTCGCATTCTTTAGGGGCTGGGCAGGAACATAAATTAAGACAAGATAAGAGCCTTTTAACACTTGAAAGTTTTAGCTCATTAGACATGCATGCATGGTATGTGGAAATGTTAAATGCTATGTCAATGTGCTGATTAAAGTCAGGTTCTTGGGGCAATTATCTCTGATACCTCACCCAGGATGTGAAGGTGTTCCATTGACAGTGCACAATGTGCATGTGACAGTTTTGTAGATTAAAAATTACATGTATGGTTTATAGATATTTAAATATTTGTAATCCAGGCATATTATGATTTGTGAAAGTTATCCGAATTGATAATAATTTTTTATCTAATCAAAAATTTTATTATCAATCTGAAGAACTTTCACAAACAGTATCACTGGCTGCGCTCGTTCGTAAAATATTGTTTTCACCACTCGAAGATAAAAGTCATATCTTCGCGCCGCCGTGTAATGTCCTCTATATAAGCTCTAATACTTGTTATGTTTGAAAAATATTTATTTCCCACCATGTAAATTGTTGACGACACGTTCCAATCGTTTCTGGCGCAAATAAAACATTTCTGTTTATAATGTTCTCTTATTTAATAGACTTCTTGATATCTCGGCTACATGTAAACAACTGAATATATAATGTCCATATTCTAAATATAAACTAATCGTAATACGTGCGTTAATTATTAATAGACGTACATTACTATATCGTTCCCTTTGTTTTAACTTGATTGTCAAATATCAAAATGTTTATTAATATTTTGATATTTGACAATTAAATATGAAGTTATTTAGCTATTTCATTGTTATGTTAGTTTATTAGATTTGATGGATATTCATGTCCGTATCGATTCGGTGGTCTTCGAATTCGGCTTGATCTTCTTGGTGCTACATTGTTTTCATTACTGATGGATGGCTGATTGTCCTGCGAGTTTTCTTCATAATCGAAACCTTCATCATCAGTGTCTTCTTCTCGTGGTTTATTTATTCGCTTGAAATGTGACACGTTCCGTTTCACAATATGACCATCTTTACTTTGAGCAAGTATTTCTGAACCAGTTTTCTTTATCACTTTATACGGTTTGTGATTAAAATTCGCAGTTAGCTTGTTTTTCTTTTCTTGTCTAACCAGTACATAATCTCCAACTTGTAGATCACTTTTTCTTGTGTTTCTCCTTTGATTTGCATATTCTCGGTTGCGTTCTTGTCGTGTTTTCTCATTGTCTCGAGCTTCTTTATGTCGATTGACAATCTTCTTGCTGTTTATTACTGGTAATTTTCCTTTTATCACTCGGTTAAACAACAGTTCTGATGGAGGTACTCCTGTAGTGCAATGTGGAGTGGTACGATATTGTAAAAGAAAACGGTTCAATTCTTGTTTCCATGGTCGTCCTTCGAGTGTCGCTGTCTTGAGCGCTTTTCCTAACGGTCGCATAAATCGTTCAACTGTAGCATTACCTTGGGGCCAATAGGGTGTTGAAAACTTAGCTTGAATACCAAGGGCTTTCAGATATCGTGCATAGTCGTCTCCATTAAAAGGGGGACCATTGTCAGATATAAGGGTGTCAGGAATGCCATGGACTGAGAACATTTTGTCAAGTTTTGGAATGACTGTTGAGGCTCGTGTTGAATGAACTATCTCAACCTCTGGGAATCTGGAGTATCTATCTACCGCCACTAACAGATATTCAGACGATGGTAGTGGACCATAAAAATCTATGTGGACAGTTCTCCATGGTAACTCTGGCATTTCGGTCATACGTAATGGTTCTGGAGGATTCGCCTGTCCGACAGCTTGACAAGTGGTGCACTTAGCAATTGTGTTTTTGACTTGGTTGTCAATTTGCGGAAACCAGATTTTTTCACGAATTAGAGACTTCGTTTTCTCTATTCCTAAGTGTGTCTCATGTGCTATATCTATTGCACGTTGTTGTAGAGCTGCAGGAATGACAATCCGTGTTCCTCGAAGTATAACACCGTGTGTGGTAAACGTAAGTTCGTTTTTTACGGCTTTGAACGGTTTTACAATTGGGGAATCCCATTTGTTTGTTTTAATTGCATCATGGAGTGCTGTTAGTGCTGCGTCTGCGTTAGTTGCATTGATTATTTCTTGTAATGTCATCGCCTTAGGGACACTGTTTTGAGTTATAAAATTAATATATTGTTCCGTCATCTTCTCCTGTTTTCGTTTGCTTTCGTTTGTTGGATGACGGGAAAGATAGTCCGCAGGGTTGCTGGCACCTGATTTATAAATTATCTTAAAGTGTCTATGACATGAAAATCTCGAATTGATTTTTTTTCGATATATTGAAAGATCTATATGTATAAAACAACCTGGCAAAATTTCATGTTAATTGGTTTGATATTCTTTAAACTAAAACGATTTAAAGTAGGATAAATTGTCAGTAATTGTGCGAATTTCTTTCGCGCGGTCAATCAAGGTATCATATGGCCTGTGACGTAGGCGTATGGACATATCAGAATCACAATGTTTTATATTTGCAAGTATGGCGGAATCACAAAAAGCTCCTGTGAAGCGAGGTGGAAGATACTGTGTTTGTGGCGGTCCTGGTGGTGTTAGTTGCAAAAATTCTACGCACACACCAGGAATAATTATGCATAAATTTCCTTCGGAAAAAACAAGACCGGACGAACGAAGATTGTGGACAAAATTTGTGAGAAGACACCGCACAAATTTCTCACCCACACAATACTCCGTTGTGTGTTCTGCGCACTTCGAGCCCTCGTGTTATCCGCAGAGCTTTTCTCTGGATATCCCAGAACATCTCAGACCGAAAGCGAGATATTTAAAGCCCGATGCTCTGCCAACAATTGATGCTGTTCCGTTGGAGACAGATAAATTGAAATCAACACCAGTTTCAAAGCGTCAAAACCGAATGGTAAATATGATTATCTCAATATACAGTATATGTGTGAATATGTTTATAATGATCTGATTGTTTGTGTGTGTGCTGTTCTCTTGTGTTGCATATATGTTTCAAGATTATAATCACCAATATATGACTTAAATGTAATATGCAAATACATATATAGCGTATACTTTATTTACATATATAGCGTGCACGTAATATTCGCCAACTGCTTGACTTCTCGTCTGGTTCTGGGTCAGTGGCAAACTCTGCAAGTGACATGGATATCGACGATGATACACTATTGGATGTAGGTGATATTGTTGTTTCAGAAAATGCCAACAACGAGCAAGAACCCGAAGTTGTCAACCCAAAAAATGACCAATCGTTTGCAAGCGCTTCGTTGAACGACCCCAACGTTTTGGCTATGTCACCGTGCTCAGCTTGTGCTGAAAAGAAGGGGAAAATTATATCCTTGCAAAAATTGAAGTCTGGCCAGAGAAAGCATCTGAAGAAGCGCACTGAAACAATTCGTGACTTGAAGTTTGAAATCAGACATCTGGAGGCGGTAAGTGGAAAGAATTATACCAAAATATCTTTCGAGCTGAAATGAGTCTAGGGTGGTTTGTTTTGAAATTACAAGATGAGGGACCCAAACACAATGTAGTTGATGAACACGTGCGATTTGTTTGGGTTTATTTATTTATAGTTATTTGTATTTTTTTACCAGCAACTTGCACAAAAGGATGAAATAGTGAATAATCCAGTGAGTGATGATGTAGCAAACCCATCTGCTTGTGATGTTAGCATGGATGAAGATTCATCCTCAGATGATGATGATGGTGATAATGATAGTGATGCGAGTGTTCACGATGATGACCCTGATTGGGAGTATGATGCGTATGCATCAGATGATGATGAAGTAGAGGAAGATGACGAACCAGTTCCATCGAAGCGAGAAGTGAGGTATAGCATGTTAGTAGTATGAATAGTCTGAAAAGCACTGCAGCATTTCATTTTTAGAAATATTAGCCAGCCTAATATTTAGATATTATATACGTCTTTTATCATCTGTAGGGTTGAACCAGGAGTGTTGCCGATGGATGAGCCTAAATTCATTGTATTTTATACAATGCTGATGACCCTGTTTTCTAAGTTCTGCTTTAATTGCAAATCAGATCTGCCCTCTGTGTCAGTGAAAGTACATGGAACAATGGCTACAGTAGATCAAGAGTGCAAGATATGCGGTAGAAGTTACAAGTGGCACAGCCAGCCTTTGGTCCTTGGAAGATACCCGGCTGGAAACATCTTGCTCAGCTTTGCGGTGCTGATGGCTGGTGGATCTATTAGCAAAGTTTTGCTAATTTTCAAACACATGGGTCTTGCAGTTTATTCTGCCAGAACTTTCTTTCGCCATCAAACCAAGTTTTTATTCCCAGTTATTTTGAAACACTGGACCAACTGCAGAAACAACATGATGAGGACATTGAAGAACATCTCCAATGCTTCTTGGTGTGGAGATGGGAGGTTCGACTCAATGGGACACAATGCCAAGTTTGGTGTATACAGCATGTTCTCTGCTGATCTGTCAAAGATAGTCCATTTCGAACTTCTGCAGGTATATATATATATATATGTATGTATATATATATATGTATGTATGTATATATATGTATATATATGTATATATATGTATATATATGTATATATATGTATATATATGTATATATATATATATATATATATGTCTGTGTGTGTGTGTGTGTGAAATTCAACTAATATGAAAAAATTAATAAATTAATTTTTTAATGTGTTCATATTAGTTGAATTTCACACTCCAAAATATAATTCACTCCACAATCTTTGTGTTCAGCACTCTTAGTAGCATATAATATAGCCAGATTACTGTAGCCTACTTCAGTATTTTACTGTGTCTAACGACAAATACATGATTTTACTTGTCAAGGGGAGGGCGTTGATGCTAAAAGGATTAACTAAAAATATTTAGTATTAGTGTGAGTATGTAAAACTAGGTACATCTGTGCATTGCCAGCCAGCTAAGAGGTAATAGACCGATAAGATGCATTTGCCACTGACAATGTACTGGTAGCTGTGTTTGAATTTTGTCAATCAGGGCCATAGTGAAGAGGCTAAATCAGGAGGTGTAGTATCGCATTTCAGCCCCTAATTAACCCATTTAGCTGCAGAGCTTCTCCATTGACAAGTAGAGTCGTCTGGCTGCCTCTTCAATCTGTAGACTATTGTCCTAATTTCTTATATAGGCAAATGAAACTGGCAGCAGCAATGCGATGGAGTTGGAGGGAGCAAAGCGATGTTTTGCTTATTTGAAGAAATGTGGCTTAACCATCAATATTTTTATATCTGATCGTCATCGTGGCATCTCCAAATGGATTAGATGTCACCAGAAAACAACGCAACATTTCTTTGACATATGGCATATTGCCAAGTCAATCATAAAGAAAGTGCTAAAAGCCAGCAAAGAAAAGGGTTGTAAGGTGTTACAAAAATGGACAAAAGGAATTAAAACACATCTTTATTGGTGTGCTACCTCAACCAAACCAGGATTTGGGGACTTAATTGTGGCAAAGTGGAAATCATTTATGCGCCATGTATGCAATATACATGATGATCACCCTGATGAGCTTTACAAGAAATGTGCCCATGAAGAACTGGAGAAAAGAAAATGGCTTAAACGCTGTAAGTTGTTTTTAACCCATTGAGTTGCATTGTGCCTTGATCTACACTATTTATTTATTTTGCTCTGTCAAACACCAGACTATTCTACTTGTCAAGGGAAGAGCGTATTAAATTACAGGGGAGAGTGGGTTAATCCATTAAGCACCAGCGCTCTCCTCTTGACGAGTAAGATCATCTGGCGTTAGACAGAGTAAAATTCTAAAGTAGGGTGGGTCAGGGCGCAATGCGACTCAATGGGCTAAATTACACTACATGTCATGTACTTTGGCTACTTCACTGATTGGCATAATAATTGAATCAGTGAAGACAAGCCAACCAGTGTATAGGTTGTTGCATTGTAAACATGGCAATATGTTGGCTTGAAAACATAAGTTACTTGACACTGATAGTTTGACTTCTGCAAAGCTGCACTAAAATTAAACTTTTTGCATTCAACTTTAGGTAGCAAACCATATGAAAAACTGAATGCCATTGTCAACAAGACAACATACATCAATGATGTAAGAAAGATGTCATCTGATGCTCAAACTGGTTGTCTGGAAGGCTTCCATGCAACCCTAAATCATTGGCATCCCAAGATGTTGAGCTTCTCCTGGATGGGAACATATTGCAGGTACAGCTAGAAATTACCAACAGTATCCGACATTGAAGAATGCTGGATGCTGTAATAACGTAATCATAATATATATATATATATATATATATATATATATATATATATATATATATATATATATATATATATATATATATATATATATATAATATTACTAATATATTTACATCCTTAATGATAAGAAATTGTTTGTCCTTTTATCAACAGGCACATATTAGCATGCATGCATTTCAATGAAAATGTAAGCAGGAAGTCAAAGACAGACAAAAATGGGGAGGTTTACATGAAAGTGACCTACCCAAAATACAAGTTTGGAGAGGAGCTGGTTCGTGAAGTTGCTTGTTCACCAACATATGGTAAATTATCTTTTTGTGTTCTTGTAATGGGACTCTCTGCAAAAACAAATTCCCACCTAGACAAAGAGAATTCCTGTTGGCTTTTGAACAGAACAGGACCCTTAGGGTGTGAGCACTCCTTTGGCTGTGAGCAATCTATTTGACTAGGTTTACCCTTCCCAGATTATCATTCCTTTCATCATATTCAAAGCTTTTGTCATTAAGTGCATTTAAGATGTTTTAATACAGTTTTTTTCAGCGATTTTTTAGGACTGTAAAACTGCCCCAAAAACTCAATCTTGAATTGAGTTTTGAATCTTTTCACCAAAAGACTCAGTGCAGTAAAAATGAAGTTGTTTGAGTTAAATTCATGATGTGTGCAAATTAGTTTTCAGTTGGAAACCCCACCAAGAAAAAATGGCTGGAATTCATTTCACGACACAAGAAAACAATACATTCGCTATCTTTAACTAGTTTATAGTCTCCCTTTGTGACCCTGCTTTAACACATTGCATTTCAACTACACTTATTGGGTACCGGTACAGGCGTCAGCCTCCCACAGCTGCCCCACACCTCCAGCTGTTCAGCTAAAGTCAATCTTCTCTGCAAAAACAGACCCAAGCGAAAATCCCGAAAAAAAAACCTGTTAATAATATAGTTGTCAATTTTAGACTCTTTTGTGTTCTATAAATATATTATCTTGCTTAATTAAGGCTATGTCTCTGAAATGAAAAAGCTTCTGGTCACTGTATCAAAGGTTGAAATGAAGGAGATATATACCAAACAAAAACAGAAAGAACCCAGTCCTCTTACAGCGCAATTCATTGATCGTCTCTCGAGAGAAGATGCCATAAAGCGACAAAAGGAAAGACGGCAGAAAACTGTGCAATTAATTCCAGCAGGTACAGTAAAACATACACCCTCTCCCATATGCAGAGCATCTGAGCTTGTAACCACATGTAAATCACTTTGAGTTGCAAAACATACCAAAACACATTGAGTTGCATGTGCCCAACTTCACTGTATTATTTTACTGTCTAGCACCAGACAATTTTATGTGCCAAGGGAAGAGCGCTGGCACTTAATTTAAAGTCAGACATACTGTATTGCATCTTATTACAAATAATTACATTATGATTATTGATAAACTCTTTATTTTATTGAACAAAATGAAGAAAAATGAAATATTTGACATTTAATTGCAGCTTTAGAACAAGATACATTACTGGCATCTCAAAAAGAGCTATTGGCATCAAAACCCACTAAACAACCAAGACGTAAGCCGCAGTGTAAAAAATGTGGAAAGCTCATGAAGGGCCATTCAGCAACAGAGTGTGCAAGACTTTAATATTTACAAAGATACCTGCTGCAAACAATATATTATTAATTTGTACATAATTTATACAGTGCCCTAAAAATGATTAGTCTCCTTTGCATCCATTCCTTGTGTAGAGTTTATCTACATGAGTGCTCACTTGAGTACATGCCAGTTCTGAAAACAACTAATTACAGCAATGTTTCCTAATTTTAGAAACATGGCCGGAGATATGTTTATACAGTAGATATATAATTTGCTAATAGAATGGACATACACAATACAAAGAGAATGGAATGTGCTTGAGTGAGCAGTCACACAGAAAAACCTCTACCTGAGGAACAGCTGCAAATGAGATAAAAAATGTTGCAAATATTTTTGCTGTTATGTTATTCAATTGTACATAGTATGATAAAATATGGTAGAAAACATTTCTTTACAAAAAATATAACAATACAACAATTAGCAAAGACTCTTAATTCATGTGTAACAGTTATGAGTTGTACCGTCCGACACTCATGGAAATTGGGGAAACGAGAAATTGTGTGGAAACATGACGGCTTTTTGCACAATTTCTTGTTTTCCCAATTTCCACAAGTGTTGATATAACTGTCAATATGGAAAAATATTTTATTATTTTTATAATATAGCACAAAGAAATATAAAGAAATGAATGTTCCATGTTGAGATTGAGTTATGTCAACACAACTCTTAGCCAATTAGCATTCAGAATTTATATATTATTTATTAATCTAGGTTTATACACAACCATTTGCCAAAGTTTACAACAAAAATAAAAAAGAGCTGGTTTATACTTACTCGTTGTCCACACGAAACCTGTTTCGTTGTTTATAACGTATACCACTTTTTGTAACTAACAGTGGTCCAACATTTTTTAAGACCGCTTCATGGGTTATTGGCAAGTATTCCCAGTGTTCTGTTATACACAAAGCATCCTTTCCCTCGAACGTAAATTTCCGCAAACATTCGCCGATTTCTTTGCAGCAACGATATTCCCTGGCATTTGCAAGCAGCTCGACACTACAGTGTCCACATTGGCACCTTTTGTTTATAAAAAATATAAACAGAGTTCAGAAAGACATTATTCCCCAAAATATTTTGAATTATTTTCATTTCGTTTTAATATAAGCCTAAAGTGACAATTTAAATAATAATCAAGGCGACTTACCATGAATTTACTGGGATAATTCCGTCATATCTTTGGGCAATAGTAGCCGAAGGAATGCCATCTTCATCGTCTGTTTGCTCATCGCTTGAACATTCGTCACTGGTGCTTGCCAATGGTTCATTAGAGTATGCTTGAACAACAGACGAATGTTCAAATACATCCTCACTATCTGATGATTCTATTTGTGACTCTTCGCCTTCATTTGCAGTGGAATACACAGAGGATTCCGAGTAAGAATCACTTTCTGCCATCTTGTTTATATGAACATAGACTCATGAACAAATGCCATGTCCATATGCCTACGTCATCACCACCAGCGCGCAAGTCAAAACTCGGTCCCAGTGTTTCGTAATTTTTTTATCAAATTTCTGCTATTTAGCCAAGATTGACAAGCTTCTAACTCAAGTAGAATTTATCAGAATGATACCAAATTTTCCACAGTGATTTTAGAGTATTAAAGGTTTTACTTTGTGTTGAAACATTTAATTTTTTATTTCATGTCATAGACACTTTAAATGTATATGGTTGGAGGCGAAGCACCCATCTTTCAATTCGCGCTGATGTTTTGGCTGTACGTTGGCCATAAATAATTTCTAAAGGTTTGTGGTCAGTTATTAGTGTAAATTCACTTCCAAATAAAAATAAATGGAAATGTTCAACTGCCCATACTATCGCTAACGCTTCCTTTTCCGTCTGGGAGTATCTCTTTTCTGTATCAGTCAGCGCTCGGCTGGCATATGCAATTATCTGTTGAGTGTCTACGTCACCGTTTCTTGGTTTCTGAGAAAGAATTCCAGAAATTCCTACAGGACTAGCATCAACTGTCACAAAAGTTTGTTTGTTTTTGTCGAAATATGACATACATGGAGCAATTGCAAGCGTGTTTTTCAGCTTTTCAAAAGCACTTTGGTGTGTTTGAGTCCACTCAAAACGAACATCCTTTTTCGTCAGGTCACGAAGGGGAGCAGTTAGTGTTGCAAAATCTCGAATGTAATTACTACTATAGTTGGCCATGCCAAGAAAGCTCCTGACTTCATGTGCATTATTTGGCTGAGGTGCATTTAATAGATCAGCTACTCTCCTAGGATCAGGATGAGTACCTTCTTTCGAAAAGACCTGTCCGAAAAATGACAATGTAGTGCTAAGGAAATTACACTTGCTTCGGTTTAGTCGTAAGCCCTTCATTGCAAGTCGTTGTAGACATTTGTCAAGATTAGCGTCATGTTCAGTTCTTGTTGAGCCGAATACAATGATATCATCAGCTATGTTCTTGACGCCTTTAAGTCCTTGCAGTGCGGTTTGGAGTGTGTACTGAAATATCTCCGCTGCAGCGTTTGTACCATAGTTTAGTCTTTTGTAGCGATACAAACCTACATGAGTGCTAAAGGTTGTTATATAACGAGACTGTTCTTCCAGTTCTAACTGATGATACGCTTGGCTCAAATCAAGTTTCGAGAAAAATTTTGCTCCATTCAGGGCAAAACTAACATCATTTACTGTTGGTATAGGATGGCGTACTCGTCTTATAGCTTCATTTGCGAGCCGCATATCGACACATATGCGAACCTGTCCATCTTTTTTGGGAACAGCTACAATGGGTGAAACCCAAGGAGTAGCTTCATTTTCGGGCACTTTTTCAATCACATCTTGATTTTCTAATTCAGTTATCGCGTTTTTCACTTTTTCTCGAATGTGATAGGGTATGCGCCTTTGGGGTTGTGCTTTCGGAATTTTAGTTTTGTCAATATCTAGTTTGATTTTTTCTCCCTTCAATTTTCCAAGATCGGAAAAAACTTTAGAATGCTTTTGAAGGATGTTTTCTAGTGCGGCATACTTTGATGTCAGTTTGTCTAGATGCAAACTAATAAGTCCGAGTTCTTGTGCAGTAGAAAGAGAAAGTAAGTTTCCACAGTTCGCAGCTTTAGCGACATAGAATGTGGCTACAGATATTCGTTTTCGTGTTTCGATTTCGTGTTCGTGCGAGTTAATTTTATGTCTTGCATTTTGTTAAAAGTGTCACGATCGATCACATTTATTGTCGCGCCACTGTCAATTGTTGTTTGAAATTTGGCACCGCCTACTTTAACATTGACCTTGTTATTGTGCTTTGTATTTGTCATGGTATATAAATAGTCTTCATCGGAACTCGAGTTTGATCCTGTATCTAATGTTTTTAAATTTCTTTGTGCATGCTTTTTGTTTGAGTATCTCGGTGATCGCGTTTGTTTTTGTTTTCCTCGACAAACAGCAGCGAAATGATTCGGTTTTCCACAATTATTACAGGTTTTTCCTTTCGCTGGACATGCCCCTGTGTGTGGATAAGCACGCCCACAATTTCTGCAAATAACATTACTACTGTTCGAAATATTACCGTTATTAGGTTTTTGTTCTAATTTATTAGCCTCACCGTCAGTTTGTTCTTTAGATTCAATTTGTTCAACTTGATACTTGCTCTGCTCGTCACGACGTCCTTCTAAAAGCATTGATTTTAAGTCAAATGTAGGATCACGCAGTGCTCGCTTTCGTATTTTTGATGAATTTCCGCCTATAATGATTTGTTCTTCGATTTCAAATTCAACGTCTGCGAATTCACAGGTTTCTGATATTGTTCTAAGTTTGGCGTGAAATTGATCTAATGTCTCATTGTGTTCTTGAGTTGTTTGTCTAAAACGATAAACTTCGTACCGCCGATTCTTTTGAGGGTCGAAGTAAGCCTTTAATTTCTGTTTCGCGATGTCGTAGTCCGTATCAGTTCCTGTCTCGGGGATTTGTTTAAAAATCTCGCGAACTCTCGGTCCGGCTTGATATAGCAAGAGTGCACGTTTTCGCTTTGGATCCGTTATTCCACTTGCGGTTATATACATTTCGAAGTCTGACTGCCAATTGTTCCATCTTGTCGAAAGGCTTGTTCAGATTTTTGCATCTGGGCAAAATTCTGGCATTGGAGTTATTGTTACAGAAAAGTTTTTATTCTAAATATGACTTGATTGTATGTATGAGCTAGATGGATAAAAGTCAATCCAATGTAATACTCATTTTATACAAACCTTCAGGCTCAATGAAACCAATACTATTTATGTCTATTTAATCAATTGATCATATGGTACTGTAAAAGCCTCTCCCATGGGCGATATTGGTTCTTGTGGTAAGAAACAATATATTTGAGCTGATCTGCATGCAACACAAGCCCTAACCCTCAAACACTAATGTTCGTTGTGCATACCACTTAGGACAATGCAACCCAGCCTTGCTGTTAACCCATTAAGCGCCAGCACTCTCCCCTTGATGAGTAAAATCGTCTGGCATTAGACAGAGTTAAATAATCTGGCGTCAGACAGAGTAAAATAATAAAGTAGGGCGCATCAGGGCGCAATGGGTTAACTAGACACATAGGTGGATAGGCTAGTTAACCCATTAAGCGCCAGTGCTCTCCCCTTGACGAGTAAAATTATCTGGCATTAGATGGAGTAAAATAATAAAGTAGGGCGCAATGCGACTCAATGGGTTAAATAGTTATAGGCTGGTAATAATAGTTAAATAGTTATCAGCTCAGTTATGGCTGTAACTTAGATGTGTATTGATTGCTGAGCTAAATTAAAATGTATACAGGCTATTTAACAACATACTGTACTAGTGAAATTTCCATTTCATCTTTTGCACATTCACATAGCATGTTCAAAAAGTTATGCATAATTTACATTAATTACAAATGTTGCGGTAAGACTTGCAGTACCAACTGAGCAAACACGAAATTCAACCCAAATGCCAAAATGAATTTCTTGGTGGTTACCCATTGGAGAGTCATGAATTTCAAGTGCTTAGTTAAAGAAAAAAACCCAGATTTGCTGAGTCAAATGAATATCGTAATGAAGAATCTCGTAACACAGACACTGTTACGGATAAAGAATATTTCTGCTTACAATCGGTCTTAAGCATCTGTGATGGGCCTATACATGGGGGCTTATATATGGATGACATTTGATGTTATAGTAATAATATTTATTGTACCTGTACCTATATACTGTACTGTGAACGAAAAGAAATATAAAATACAGTATATAACACATAATAAAACAAGTTGGTTAACATGTTATGATATATGTACTATTAGTAATGTAATTATCGTCACTCGTCTGAGCTGTTGTAATCCCTGTCACTGCCTTAATAAATACCTGTCCAATAATAAGGCAGGTGGCTTATGCATGGGGGGCTTATATATTTGGGTTATATATAGACTGGCATATGCACTAGTAAATATGGTGGACTTATACACAGGGGGTTATATTGGGGGGAGGCTTTAATTCGGAGGTTTACAGTGTGACAAAAAAGCAACCGGGGGTTTTATTTATGAGACAATGATTGGCTTAATATCCCAATGGATACTACTGTAAGCTTATGACGTCCAATAGTCCAAATTTAAAGCATGATATCCGGTGGTTATGACTGCAAATGAATTCTTGTGTATAACAACATACTGTAGTAGGAGGAAGAATTGTGTTGACTGGAAACTTTCAGTAGAGTGACACTCTTAAAATGATACAGAACATATACGATAGTCCGCTTTGTCGCTTTAATTTTAGAATTTTAGGATATGTCACGTGAAAACAGTAGTAATTTTGGTACTTTGGCTAAGTTTTTTAGATCATGACTTGATTAATTATTGTGCAGGGGTGACAAATCAGCTTAAATACATGTATCTTGTTACCTATAAGTGGTGCGCATGTTAAAAAGGTTAGGAAGTTAGAATGAGGGTGTTAAGTAAGCCTGTGGGCATGAATTTACAAAATTGTACAGTAATTATCATTTATAGACCCAGAGCGAGGGGGATTCGGCGGATTATTACCCGAAGGGGGTTATATTGGGGGGAGGCTTTAATTCGGAGGTTTACAGTGTGGCAAAAAAGCAATATGAAGGTAATATTTCGACGAATCCCGCGTGCGGAGGGTCTATAAATGATATATTATACCGAAAGTTAAAGAACCCACTAAGTTCAGAATAAACTTTAAAATTTGCTGAATATTAACAAAGCGAATACAATTTTTAATTTCTTATGTATATCTGGGTTTTTGACGTTTTCTCTTTAAAATATTTGAGCATGTATCCTTTGGATCATTGAAGGTAACATATATATATATGTCGTGAAAATCTTTGGTTAAATCAATAAATCTTCTGTACGAAATTACAAACAACAGTTCGCAAACGCCATATTGTTTCAGAACGTGTTGTCCACGCGTCACGCGTGAGATACTATAATATCCCACGGTGCATCGTGGGATATTATAGTATCTCACGCTGCATTGCGAAATCATGAATTTGAGTGAAATACCGTAAAAATCACATTGTTACGTGGTACAAATGATGTTTTTTCATTGGACAATTTGAATTTGAGGTATAATATTAATAAAAATACTGGTAACTGCTGGACTGTGGAAAGTTGTTATTCAATAATAATAATACCAGACCGTAGTACCTTTACTCCCAGAAGAGAGTAAGGACTGGGAGTGAAAGAGACTTTTACTCCCAGTCGCAAACTACGAGTAGGAATGGGTTTAACTTTAACTCAATAATAAAATTTAATGTTGGACAGCAGGACTGCAAACAAGTTAAAAACGTATGAAGTGCGCATTTGTAGGTAGGCAGCTGTTCCAACGGTCATGCATGTTTGAAAAACAAGCATTTCAGATGGCTATAGTGCATTTTACTGTAATATAGACAGCCATAAATGCTCTATGCAAATATTTTCTTTGATTTTCTTTAAAACTTTGTGATAATGCCGTGTATGCTTCAATACATTATATAGCTAAAAACACAAGCACTATTTTTTAACACAATGCCGGATTTTTACTCCGCATTTGGAGACAAAAAGATATTCTATCAAATTTAGTGCTTATTTTATACTAAACTACTGTACATTCCATTGCCCGAACAATTATATAACTATCCAAGTTTCAATACAGTATTTGAAATGATCGGGGGATGAGGAGCTTAAAAATTTTACATTGGTCATTGTCATGGTTGAATTTTAAAAAATTCTGCATAATCACATATACGTTTGTTGTCCCAGATTAATTTGCAGGGCTTTCAGCTCTGCGATTCCGGTGCAGCGCTCTAACCAACTGAGCTGCAGAGGCCAGTTGTCGAGCTTTAACCACAAGTTTATGTATATATACTAGGGTATTGCCATGCATATGTTATGGTAAATATCAAGATTTTGTTGGCATCTCACTCGACTTAACAATTAGTCGCCGAAGGCTAGGTGATTAGAATACATACATACATAAAAATTTATTTAAACACGTTAGCCCTAACATCTTTTGATGGTTTCCATAGGGGACGTGTAAGAATAAGACTAATACATATACATAATACAAACTATTTACATGATTATTTTGACAAATTAACAAACATAAATAAATAACAAACATACAAAACTATTTACATACTTATGGTTTTCGAAAATGTAGTTTCATTAATCTTTTGAAACAACTCAAAGAATTGGATTGTTTAGCAGTAATTGATAAGTTATTCCAAAGAGTTGCTCCACTATAACTGAAGGTCTTTTTCTTAAATTGTGATTTTAGGAATGGAATTACCAGATCTGTTTGAGAATTTCTTAATTGGTGTGTAATTGGACAATCACTTATTTTCAAAAAATTTTCTTTCAGGTTTGGAGCAGTTTCATTATTTAAGATTTTGTAAATAAAAATGGATTTCAAGTATTTTCGCCTATTGTCGAGAGTTTGCCACCCCAAAGTTGCAAGAACATCGGCCGACCTAATAATAGAAGCCTAGTTATATTCACTCAGCCGAAGGCGAAGTGAATATAGGCTTCTAATCACCGAGCCTGTGGCGCGACTAATTGTTTTAGGATAATTTCAGTATTGAAAAAGTTTTATTTATAAATACAACTAATACACGGCACGTGTTTATTTTATGAATATAATTTGTATAAATAATTTACTTCCGTCTGATTTTCAGCCACTTTTTTGGGAAAGGCAATAGTTACTGCTCAGAGCAGTCTGAGAATCAGAATGCCCAAAGGCCATTTTTTAATACTGAAATATATATGCTAATGAATATTAGTTGAAGGGTATTGAAGATGAAAATTATTATCTTCTCGATAATTTCCATCTACAATACCCCAAAATTCAAACGAAAACAAAATATATTTTCTACATTTGCGGTTTGAATTAAAGACATTAAATTTATCTGGAAAGATGTAGTCGAAAGGGCAGCTGTAATTGATCATATTAAGAAAATCACAACTCGCCTCAGTGCTCCGAAATTGTAGATTACTGTATGCACTATCACACAGTTCTCTCTTCTTAAATAGTTATTTTCCCTTTTTTTGTTTTGGAAAATATTAGATAAATACACGAAAATACACGTCAAGCACTTGGTCATGAATTACTGTAGCTAATGGCATTGCGCACAATGTTAAAATAACCTGGAGCGAGTGTGTTGGGTTTTGTTGGGCTGTTTGGTTTTGTTGTGTTGTGTTTTGTTGAGCTGTTGGGTTTTGTTGTGTTATTGGGTTTTGCTGTGCTGTTGGGTTTTGTTGGGTTTTGTTGCGCTGTTGGGTTTTGCTGTGCTGTTGCGTCTGTTGTACTGTTGGGTCTGTTGTGCTGTTCTACTGTTGGGTCTTGCTATGCTGTTGGGTTTGTTGTGCTGTTGGATTTTGTTGGATCTGTTGGGTTTTGCTGTGCTGTTGGGTTTGTTGGGTCAATTGTGCTGTTGGGTTTTGTTGGGTTTGTTGGATCTGTTGGGTTTGTTGGATTTTGTTGGGTTTGTTGTGCTGTTGGGTCTGTTGCGCTGTTGGGTTTTGTTGGGTTTTGCTGTGCTGTTGGGTTTTGTTGCGTCTGTTGTGCTGTTGTGTTTTGTTGGGTTTTGCTGTGCTGTTGGATTTTGTTGGGTCTGTTGGGTCTGTTGGGTTTAGCTGTGCTGTGCTGTTGGGGTCTGTTGGGTTTCTTGAATCTTTTGGGTTTGTTGGATCTGTTGGGTTTGTTGGATCTGTTGGGTTTGTTGGATTTGTTGGGTCTTTTGGGTTTGTTAGATCTGTTGGGTTTGTTTTTATCTGTTGGGTTTGTTGGATCTGTTGGATTTGTTGGACCTGTTGGAATTTTTTTATTTGTTGCGTTTGTTTGGGTCTGTTTGTATGTTGAAGATTTGGATAGGGGGACAAGCTCAGGGCCGTGCCGAGCGGTATCTGGTTGGGGGAGGGGTGAATTTAAAATTTGGGGTTCCCCTCAAAAAAATTTTCCGGAAAGCAAACATTTTTCCGGAAAATTTTGGCGACGGTGGGAGGGAGGGGAAGGTCGACAGTTTTTTTCCTAAAACGAAACGGCCATATTTTTCAAACACTTGTTTGAGATAATGGGGGGGGGGCGGGGCGGGGGTTAAAAATACTTTTGTCTACCTCAATTTTTCAGAACATTTCTTATTATTTAACACGTTCCGCAATTCCAACATTCCGGGGCACCCGTCTTGCCAAGTTGGCCCCTCTTTCTTGACTTCTCCTTGGGGTGTGTTGCATCCCCTCCCCAGTAGTTTCGGCCCTGGACAAGCTAACATAAAGTATTAAGTTTTGGGCATACGTGAATGACTTGCCATGAGATTCTGGAATAACTAATTAAGCGTTGGGTTTTGTTAGGCTAACGGAAAACTCAACGCAAACACGCTCTTCCTAAATGCGCGACAGGTACATAAAAAAAGTTCATATACAATTAAGCCTCCATGCTTATCAGATGGATGTCGCGATCTATCCCGCTAATGTGTTCTTAAACGACTTTGTTTCAGATTGATCAAGAAAAAAAGGGTTAAAGATGAGGTAATTCAATGGCTTCTGAAAAGAACATAGCAGAATACGACCATAACAAAGCAGGTTTAGAAATAAGTACCACTTTTGGCGATCGGTCGGGAATAGCAAGCAAGAATGGCAATTTAGTCAATGCCTACCTTAGCTTAGGTGAATATCAGAAAGCCATTGACCATTACAAAACAGATTTAGAAATAAGCACTGCTGTTGGCGATCGGTCAGGAATAGCAAGTAACAATGGCAATTTGGGCAATGCCTATCTACGTTTAGGAGAATATCAGAAGGCCATTGACTATCACAAAAAAGATCTAGAAATAAGCACTGCTATTGGCGATCGGTCAGGAATAGCAAGAAGCAATGGCAATTTGGGCAATGCCTATGATAGTTTAGGAGAATATCAGAAGGCCATTGACTATCACAAAAAAGATCTAGAAATAAGCACTGGCATTGGCGATCGATCAGGAATAGCAAGAAGCAATGGCAATTTGGGCAATGCCTATTTTAGTTTAGGAGAATATCAGAAAGCCATTGACTATCACAAAAAAGATGTAGAAATAAGCACTGGCATTGGCGATCGATCAGGAATAGCAAGAAGCAATGGCAATTTGGGCAATGCCTATTTTAGTTTAGGAGAATATCAGAAAGCCATTGACTATCACAAAAAAGATCTAGAAATAAGCACTGTCATTGGCGATCGATCAGGAATAGCAAGAAGCAATGGCCATTTGGGCAATGCCTATGATAGTTTAGGAGAATATCAGAAGGCCATTGACTATCACAAAAAACATCTAGAAATAAGCACTGGCATTGGCGATCGATCAGGAATAGCAAGAAGCAAAGGTAATTTGGGCAATGCCTATCTTAGTTTAGGAGAATATCAGAAAGCCATTGACCATTACAAAACAGGTTTAGAAATAAGCACTGCTATTGGCGATCGGTCAGGAATAGCAAGTAACAATGGCAATTTGGGCAATGCGTATCGACGTTTAGGAGAATATCAGAAAGCCATCGACCATTACAAAACAGATTTAGAAATAAGCACTGCTATTGGCGATCGGTCAGGAATAGCAAGTACCAATGGCAATTTGGGCAATGCCTATCTTAGTTTAGGAGAATATCAGAAAGCCATTAACCATTACAAAACAGGTTTAGAAATAAGCACTGCTATTGGCGATCGGTCAGGAATAGCAAGTAACAATGGGAATTTGGGCAATGTCTATCGACATTTAGGAGAATATCAGAAAGCCATTGACCATTACAAAACAGATTTAGAAATCAGCACTGCTATTGGCGATCGGTCAGGAATAGCAAGTAGCAATGGCAATTTGGGCAATGCTTACTTTTGTTTAGGCGAATTTCAGAAAGCCATTGACCATTACAAAACAGGTTTAGAAATAAGCACTGCTATTGGCGATCTGTCAGGAATAGAAAATAAGAATGGCAATTTGGGCAATGCCTATCTTAGTTTGGGAGAATATCAGAAAGCCATTGACCATTACAAAACAGCTTTAGAAATAAGCACTGCTATTGGCGATCTGTCAGGAATAGCAAGTAACAGTGGCAATTTGGGCAATGTCTATCGACGTTTAGGAGAATATCAGAAAGCCATTGACCATTACAAAACGGGTTTAGAAATAAGCACTGCTATTGGCGATCGGTTAGGAATAGCAAGTAACAATGGCAATTTGGGCAATGCTTATCTTAGTTTAGGAGAGTACCAGAAAGCCATTGACCATTACAAAACAGATTTAGAAATAAGCACTGCTATTGGCGATCGGTCAGAAATAGCAACTGGAAATGGGAATTTGGGCAATGCCTATCTTAGTTTAGGAGAATATCAGAAAGCCATTGACCATTACAAAACAGGTTTAGAAATAAGCACTGCTATTGGCGATCAGTCAGGAATAGCACGTAACAATGGCAATTTGGGCAATGCCTATCAACGTTTAGGGGAACATCAGAAAGCCATTGACCATTACAAAACAGGTTTAGAAATAAGCACTGCTATTGGCGATCGGTCAGTAATAGCAAGTAACAATGGCAATTTCGGCAATGCCTATCTTAGTTTAGGAGAATATCAGAAAGCCATTGACCATTACAAAACAGGTTTAGAAATAAGCACTGCTATTGGCGATTGGTCAGAAATAGCATGGTTAAATGGCAATTTGAGCGAAGCTTATTTACGTTTAGGAGAATATCAGAAAGCCATTGACCATTGCAAAACAGGTTTAGAAATAAGCACTGCTATTGGCGATCGGTCAGGAATAGCAAGTAACAATGGCAAATTGGGCAATGCCTATCTACGTTTAGGAGAATATCAGAAAGCCATTGACCATTACAAAACAGGTTTAGAAATAAGCACCGCTATTGGCGATCGGTCAAGAATTGCAAGTAACAATGGCAATTTGGGCAATGCCTATCTTGGTTTAGGAGAATATCAGAAAGCCATTGACCATTACAAAACAGATTTAGAAATAAGCACTGCTATTGGCGATCGGTCAGGAAGAGCAATTAACCTTAGCAATTTAGGAAATGCGCATCGATATCTTGGAGAGTATGAAATTGGAACATCGCTCTTAATGAAGTCAATTAGTTTATACGATAGAATGTTTTTAGATTTCGTTCCGGATCGAAATAAGCTGGCATTCACGATACAATATTTCGTATCTCATGAACGTTTGATGAGTTGTTTTCTTTCTTTGGAACGCATTGAGTCCGCATTATTAGTCATTGACCTTGGTAGGGCTAAGGAGCTCCATTGCTGCGTTGAAAAACATAAGAATTCTGTGGACAAGGACATGTTCGATTATGCACGTGTGATATGGAATAGAATCGGGGCCAGAGAAGAACGAAGAGAAATGGAAGAAATGAAAACATTTCTCCATCTAGGAGAAAATGACACCTCAGTATTAGTATTTGCTTTTGATTTGGAAGGTTTTCTTAATGTTTGGGTTTTAAATGATGAAGTTATCTTTCGAAAACTTGATGCATGTTTGGAAACATTTCAGTTTCTTATTATGGAACTTCTTGGGAGGGAAAAAGTTAGTGTTGGTCGGAATTCTTCATTTTGCAACTCCGATCCAGTTGTTGATACTAACAATCAAATAATTTTTCCATTCGAAATGCCAAACGGAAAAGCACTCTCTAAAAATGCGTTTGAAAATACTGCTTGCTATAGTGATTTGAGTAATCGAGAAATTTTGGAAAGATTGTTCAAACTTTTAGTTGATCCGGTGAAAGATCTTGTTAACGGCAATAAGCTAATTGTCGTTCCTGACCGGCAATTGTTTTTTACACCGTTTTCAGCATTAATTGATGAAAATGGCTCTTATTTATCCAACAGTTACAGCGTTCAAATCACACCTTCATTGCATACCCTGAAGTGTACCATGAAACAATCCCGCGAGTCAAACTTTGGTTTTGCGTTGTTTGTTGGTAATCCAACTGTTGGAAGAGTTTGTTTAAACGGAAAAGACGTTACACCCTCTGACTTGCCTAATGCGGCTGAAGAAGTTAAATGTCTGTCAAAGCTTTTTCATGCTAGGCCTTTCTTAGGACGCGAAGCAAGGAAAAAGGTAGTATTGCAACATCTACGTGGAGCTAGTATAATCCATATCGCTGCCCATGGCGAACCAAATCGAGGTGAAATAATGCTTGCGCCAAACTCTTCCCAGGTGCAACCATGTTTGGCTGTTCCCAAGCCAGAGTCGTATCTTCTCACACAGCGAGATATTCTAGATATTCCTGTGCAAGCTCGCTTGGTAGTTCTATGCTGTTGCCATACCAGGCAAGGTGAAATTACTTCAGAAGGTGTCATAGGTATAACTCGAGCTTTTCTTGCAGCCGGAGCGCGCTGTGTTCTTGCTACACTATGGCCGATTGACGATAGTGCCACAAAAGAGTTTATGGAAAAATTCTATGGCGAACTTTGCCAGGAGACAAGAGTTTGTGAAGCTTTAAGAAGAACAGTGAACCTATTTCAGAAACACGAAATACAATCTTACCGATCCAGTCGGATTTGGGGTCCATTTACTATCTATGGAGAAGACACGAAGTTTCATAAGAATGAGATTGAGCAAATCAGAAAAAAATCTTGTGAGATGTTCTCTGATTTGGTAGTGATTTCTGATTTGGTATAGTATCATTAAAATGACGTTGCTCTTTTTAGTGGAATGGACTACTGACTGAGAATGCTTCTATTTAAAGCCTTTTTCTGCCCCTTGCTTCGAACGTTTAAAAGGTTAGAATGTATGGAATTATATTTTGAAATTATATAATCGACTTTCTTTAAGATAACGTTTGGTTTGATTAGAGTGGCTTACCGGTTGTTGATGATCTTGACGTGTGGAAACGTTCTTATTGCAATCATTCCACGCTTCTGTAATTGTTACTTTGGTAAGAAATATTATTTAAAAAGAATATTAATTTCCAACTTGGGTTGTGCGCTTGATGTTGGTTAAAATAAGATTTGGGGAAAACAACACCGTGAAATTGCTAAAGTTGTTGTAACTAAGATTGTGGTGTTCAGAATCATGTGTGCATTGCCAAGCGCAAAATCTGATTATGCGATAGACAGCTTATCTAGTTGCTGTAGTGTTTACATGAGAAAAGTAGTAGAGGAAATATAGTTGAGCAGTGTATATCCAAATATAAGGTGATCCAAATTTGACATGTTATTGCACATTAGGTATGTAGTAAGATTATATGGAATCTGATTTACTTTATTCAAGCTTGAATATCAGTAGTATAGTAGGTACCGTTCGACCCGGATTTTTGAGGTGGTGGATGAGGTGGTGTGAGGTGGTGGAGTGTGAGGTGGTGGAGTTTTGAGGTGGTGGGTGTCCACCACCTCATTTATAATTAATACTCGTCCAATTGAGGAGGAGTAATGACGTCACTCATTAGCATACGTCATAATTATATGCAAGACGTCACGCGGGCAGGTTTAAACAAGGACGTGGGAAACTTGCTGACTACGCATTTTTTAGCGTTCCCCCACGTGTGTGATACAATAGGCTTATTATTGGTTTGCTCTGAATAGCTCGAGTCCCTCACAAGGTAAAATTGTTATCGAAATTAATATATAGCAGTTATAGCCGTATCTTTGCTAGGAATAGATAAATTTCCACGAGTATATTGAAGGACTTTTCGTATATTCCATATCGAGGAATCTATTCGTCACAAAAATCAAGACATATTTTAAACTAAACAGTTGCTAATCCCGGGTTGTCAACGTCGTTGTTAAGGTCAATATTTGCATGTTGTTCAACATTATTTAGCAATCCTCCTACATACATATATACTGTTAAGATGATCATAAGAAAGCTTATCAAGAGTAGAAGTTAGAATTAGAACAGTTGTAATATTTTTTGACACTATCATCTGTTATTTGTATCAATAAACATGTTTTAAGCTTTACAAATTTGCGTTGTTTATGTGTTGCTAAGTCATTAGGAGGTGTGTAGGTAATTAAGGGGATTAAGGCAATACGAATTTGCATAACTAAGTGTATCCCGATGGATAGATAGGGATTATTTTTAACGCAGGTGTATATCTTAAAATCAGGCGCGTGGCTTTGCGGGTACATGCATATATTAACGTACAACATATTTGTACACGGATCTTTTCGCGCGGGCGGAAAGAGCGGGCTTTGCCGGCAAAAATTTACACAATATTTTAGTTTTTAAATACATTTATTTCTTCAAAACGTTTTACAAGGTTATGCTTCTAATATATATCGTCACTTGTTTCAAGGGTTTCGCTATCAGATTCTTCATCATAGCTGCTTTCATCATCGTGGCTGCTTTCATCTTCCATAATCCATTTGGTATGTCTTGGGACTGTTATATGAGAACACAGTTTTAACCTCTTTGTAGTTGATAAATTACTGCATTGACTTCGCCTTCTCTTGCGTCCATGCCCGGTTTGACGCAGAAGAGTCCTTGCTCCTTGCTCAGCAACGTCTTTAACAACGGCACCTCCGTGAGTCTTTACAGATTCTCTTACATTTTTTCCTTGGAGTACATCTTGACCAACTTCTGTGGCTGCTTGCAATGTTCTTTTGCCAACAACTCTAGCGCCTTGTTTGAACAGAGGGATAGCGTATCTCGCAAGGCTCTTGAAAATACTTCCGATCCCGTATCCTCTTTGAAAACGTGCACCACGATACCCAGCGATGTTTCCACCACGCTGCTGTCTCAAGAAATGGTCTCTCAGTAGTTTTTCGTCTACAACAAGTTTACCCCTTGGCATATTGATGTGTTCAGTTCAACTTCAACTGTCAACTGATCAAATATCACTTTATTCGTCTATTTTATGCTCAAAAAAATGTCTTTTATCAGTGCTAACATCCGTAATTTCATCACAATGACAATATGAACAACTGGCGATTACATGAGTGACATTTCCTTCGGACAGTCGAAAATCACAGATCATACAGTGACACCTTGTACAATTGGGATAAAAATGTGTCCATGCGCATACAGGGCATGTACCCAAATGGGAGATGTGTAAATCTTTGTTACAACTGTTACAACTTGTGTCCACGTCTTCAGACTTATCTTCGGATTTATCAGACTGTGTATCCACATCATGTAGTGACTGCTTGTGGGATAGTATTGTAAGGACACGTCCATTTACGATCAGAATTTTATCAATTTCCAATTTTGCAAGACCTTTAAGAAATATGTTCAGTCCAGCCGGTTCTGGAATTTCAGTATTATATGGTAAAACAGTATATTGCAAAAGATCTACAATATTTGTTCCACGTATATTTTGTCCTATGTATACAATTTCCCCTTGAAGATTCCATGTGAGAATATCCGTGGATGTGAGAATGCAGTGAAGAAGTTCTTCAGCATTGTTTTTATCAACATTATCGTTTAAGTGTCCAAGTATATCTTCAACGCGCCAATGTCTCGGAGATGATCTCTCCTTGCTGTTCATGGTTGGAATGACGATGTGAATTAATGATGATTGTTTTATACTAATTCTGCAAGCCCCTCTAAAAGTGGTGCAAGTACCAATCCTAGAAAACCACTCCCGCGCTGAACAAGAATTTTCCTTTTCTTTCTAAAACTCCTACTGCTGTCCGCCAAGTCAGCGAGGTCATCTCTAAATGGTCCAAGTTTGTTCAATGTTCCTTTAGGATATGTAAAGTTTTCCAAGCAATTACATAGAAAGCGAATCTGTTCATGAGATGCAGAATTCAACAAAGCTTGCTGTTGAATTGGATGAGAAATACACAAGAGCTCCACAAACGGTCTGTGTTTTATATAACTGCTAGTCATCTCTGTTCGGCGGTCAGCGACGGAATGAAGATTTAGTTGGAAATAACATATTTATATATTAACGAAAATAGTATCGTAGGATATCAATATCTTAGGATATCAATATCTTAGGATATCAATATCTCAGGATATCAATATCTTAGGATATCAATATCTTAGGATATCAATATCTTAGGATATCAATATCTTAG